GATGCCCATTAAGCGCTTAATAGTGCTTCTCATCTTCCTTATGGAATTGGGCGTTGTAATTTGATATGGGTATTTACACGCGCAGTGGAGTTGATCGAACCATCAGAATCTCGGGTGCTTCGTGTTTCGTGGTATGGCTTGAGTTGACCTACCCAATTTCGGAGCGAACGAGGGCCAACCACGTATGTGTCCTATGAGGGACTAGAACCAGGCGCAAAGCTGGCCTACGATATTGTGGATTTTACAGTGAAGAAACACCATTTGTGCTGATAAATATCTCCCATTATTGCAGTAGCAGCAACGTCATGAGCGAATGTAGTCCCCACACCAGCTTACGCTAGTGCTGGAATGACTTGTATCCCAGGAGCTACTCAACGTCAATAGTATCTCTGACCCCCCTGATTTCAGTCGACATCTTCCCCTTGTGGCTAAGTGAGAGAACATTAGAAAGACGGCATGCACTCCTGTCACCAAGGGTCCCTTCACCACTATTCAGATGTCCCCGTTACTCCGGCACCAAGATCCAGTGCAATGAGCCTTTTACCAGAGACGTAGGCGCCATGTGTTGACCCGCCTGTGAACCTCTTTTCATATCCTTTAGTACTTGCCAATGTTCCGGGCACAAGCTGCTTCCGCCGGACATGGTGTCCCCCGCGTTTACGAGTGGGCGCATATAAGAGGCAACACTATGGATTTATATCGCTTCTGGCAATGTTGTCCTCACACTGCATGCATCGCGCTGATCGATGCAAATCCCAGCCTTTTGCTTGCGTCGCGGCTGTGTTCATGGAAGGCGGAAGAGTCACAAAACATTACTGCGGCTGTCACGACCAGGCACCGAAGGGAGCTTTGCTTGCTAGTCTATTTCAATAGAGGTTGATTACCCGCCTAGCGGATACCTTGCTCGTGTACCGATACAAATGGCAAATGATCCTCTCCATCTTGGCTGTTCATTATGCATCTGACGTCGTGCCAAACCACTCCAATGCAACCAACACATGTTTCCGCTCAGTGCGCAGCATCCAGCCTTCGCTCAGTTCCTTTATCTGATGTCTTGTGATACAGACTCGGCTATGGATGAATGGCAATGGTCTTTTTTTAATTATAGGGTCAAGGTACGCGGTTATAACTCCCGATCAAACCTCGACTAGATAACAGAAAACGGACTTTCTAATATATTCCATTTTTCGCACGTTTGTAATGCTGAGGCCACTTCGTGTGTGAGAACCCAGGGCACGTCCTCGGCCTTGGCGCTTGGACTGTACGCGAGTCCTGTATGTGGAGATGATAGACATTTGAGCTTTGCATATAAGGAGTCGTGTCGGAGTTAGGCACTTCATCATCACCTTGCCGTCTGCTGCTCTCCGCTTCCCTCTTCTCCCACCAACCTTGCTCCTTCAGCATGACTTCTGCGAGCGAAGTGAGGCGCATCCTGGCGCTTTACGACGCTACCGAGAAGCGCAACATTTCCACCTATATTCTCGGCATTATGCTGTACAAGTTTGGTCTCGAGCAGTTCAACGGTTCAGTCGTGACGATGGCTACCGATCGCTTCAAAGCTGATCATACCTTTGGCAAATTGGCCGTCTTGACCGGTCTGAACTATGCCATGCAATGTGTTGGCGCCATCCTCATTGCCCCCCTTGTTAAGAAAGCGCCCACACGTACGGTGCTCTCTGCCGCGATCTTCATATTCTCCATCATGTCCGCTGTCCTCCTCGTTGTCGATGCTGCCACCGGTGGTAAGATCAAAGCCAACAACAACGACCAAGTCGAGTACGGTAGTTGGAATCCCAACGGTCTCTTCCCTATCTATATCATCTCGGGTATCGCCTACGGCATGGTTGAACTCATTCGCCGGGTTATCCCCAGAGACATTGTGGGTGCAAACCCGGAGAAGTTGAGGAGGATGGACGCTTTGGTGCACATCATGTATGAATTGTCTGGTACAGGAGGCGCCTTTGCCAGCACGCAACTTATTGCCAAGCTGGGCAACAACTAGTGAGTTACGACTAGGACTAGGGAGGGTGAAATCGAAAACTGACATGAGTATCATTTGAGCTCCTTCATCATCACACCTCCTCTCTTTGCGCTGGCGGCCATCGTTTGGTACCAAATTTCTGCCCTCTCCTTCGGGGTTAGGGACTTTCAAGCAGGCGGCCCCGTTGTAATCGGGCGCGAGCAACGTAACCCCCTCATCGGCTACACTCTCGCTGTCATCGAAGGTTTCCGACTCTTCATCCTTTCGATTATCAAGGGGGCCCAACTGGTCCTCTTACATCGTAAATATGTATGGCTATTCTTTTCGTACAGTGTAGCGCTTCATTGCCACCGCTATCTTGAAAACGCCATCGCCCCCATTTACGCCCGTCGTGCCCTCAACAATTCGAGCCTTTCTCAAGCCCTCGTGGCGTTTTCCAACTTGGGTGAATTGTTCGGTGCCCTTTTCGTCTTTATTTTTGCCAGCAATGTCAAGACCCCAATTCCCTGGCTTCGCCTGGACGCTTTACTCCTGATGATCATTTGGGTCGTTCCGTTCTTCAAGCGTGAACAACACGGGACTATCATCGCATACCAACTGGGCGCCTGTTTCATCCCTATCTCATTCGGGTGGGCCGCTGGTGACGTTTCATTAGCCGCATATATCCAGTCATCTCTCACCCACTCGGACGACGAGGACGACTCCCAGGTTTCTTCCCTCGGGAGTATCATGGCTTTCCTCTACTCGGCATACATCATTATTTACGCTGTCATCTCGAAAGTCCTCGGAGACTACGTTGACCGAGTCATTGTCCGCAAGGGCAGCGTGTACGACGCCCTCATTCACGTCGGCGGCATCCACTTCAGTGTGTTAGCATTCATCATCTTGGTCTCCACTTTTGTTCCCAAGGGCGCCTTCGCTTTCAATCCCGAGATCATTCACATGAATGAGAGGCCTGGCGTATCCGACCGGTACAACGTTGAAGCCCGCAAGGCGCAACCCAGTGATGATGAAGGGAGTGAAGAGAAGCTCGCACCCTAAGATATGCTAGCTTGGATAACACAGGTGTTCTCGCGCCTACCCTTCTTAATACCGCGAACGAAAAGGCTCAATAAAGGCCCATGCTAGTTAACATATCGACATTCATCTCATCTCCCGTTTAGCCCTTTTTGCTCCTTGCTTCGCGTTTCTCTCTCTCTCGGGTTACACCTCGTGTTTACATTGATGGGACGACGGTTTGTTGACACCCTCGAATTCGATGCCGCGATTCCTGTATGATAACAATGGGTTCTTCTGATGCATTTGTATCGCCCCTGAGATCCCTTTGTGCATATCCTTACGTTTCTTTTGTCAACGGGTTGTTGTTGGGTTACTTGCGGTGGTAGGGATATGATGAAATGAAGTGAAGTTTGGCCCCGTGGGTTTATTCGGGCTGGTGGAAGGTCGCTGTGAATATTTTTGAGATATATGTGACGCGCCATGCAGAGACTCAGGTGGGTTAATGTCCATGGTCATCACAAAGTTTGGGTCGCATGCGATGCAGTCAAGACTCTGGGCTTGAACTGATAAAGTCCACGATTCCAAGGATAACTCGAGTGCACATGATGTTGATTGAAGCGACACCAAAACGGACAGTTAATTAAAGGTGCAACTCGGCAGAATGACAAGGTTACTATACGTACGTGGTGGCATGTCGGAGTCGAATGAATAGTAACTCAGTTACTGGATTGATTACGGGACTTCCTCGGGATCAATTTACTTCGAGGCATCTCCGGCTCAATGACAATTGGAACCCGAACCTGTTTGCTCTTTTTCTCCGATTTTGACCCTCCCTATTCGATCCCGAGAACATTTCCTGATCCCCCGAGGTTGAAACGAAGGTTAGAAAATCACATTCTTCCCCACCCTCATTATGGCTATCTGCGAACGAGATACACGCGTGATGCAACATTTGCACTCACAGTAGTACTACTATCTGCATCCTTTCTGGCTTGGAGCTGTGTCCATTTCGTGGATCAACTATCTTTTTTCTTTTGCGTCCCACGATCTTGGTCCTGACCGCTGGCACCAACAGGCCATGTTTTACCGGCTTTGTGGAGCAAAGATGCCAACAATGTCCCTAATACCTACTACTGAGGAAGTGAGACTAGCGTTCCTTGTACGCTTCTCATTTTCGATGCCCACAGCCACTGAATATAATGTTTCCCGTTGCTTGCATGATTCATAATGGTGATGATGTCAATATGTGTATCTCGCGCTTGCGGATGGCATCGATGACAAGATCACTAGCATTGCCTGGACCGTCAAGGTATGTTGACATGCCGCTTCACTGTTCTTGAGCCCTTCATTAAATTTCCCAGTCTGGAGGCGGTTGTTCACCGAGTCCAGTCTTCCCAACAAAATATCTTCCCTTCTGATGGTTAGTAATGCTGTTCGTCGCACAAACCCACAGTTTGACTGAGATTTGGCCCACTTCATTAGCCAACAGACACATCTGCGGACATATTCACCGACACCCTTTCCGGTATGGATTTGGTTGTCTTCTTACTTGTTCGCGACTGATGGACAAGTACCACTCATTCTCCACCAATCCACCTACCAGTTGAACTACAAACACCGGGTTGTCCGACCACCGCGATCATTGGGGGAGGAGTGGCTGATCCATTTTTTACCGAGCAGAAAAATTGGAACAGGTGGACAGCAAAACACGAGATTTTTTTTCATATCAAATATTCTCAATTTCTCTCGGACTTAGGACTGAAAGCCCGTCACCCGGGCACTGCTGGACTTGGTTTGTCACGCTTGTCTGACCTTGGCGGTTGGCTGTCACGCGTTACATCAGCTTTGCGGTTGCGATGTCCGGGGTAAATCTCTGTCACGCTCCCAACCCATGCAGTTGTTGGTCATGCGAGTACAGTAGTCTGACCCCGGCTCCGTTGTGGCCTCATTCCTATAGTTTTCTATACACTATACGAGTCTACACCTACTAAAGAGTAGCAACCACATAAAGCACTGAGTACAAGAAGCGGGAAAAAAGCACAGGGGAAAGATTGTGAAGCAGGTCATGCAGCACTGTTCTATTTCAATGGAAACATAAGTCACAAAATTTGTACCCTCAACTTCGTGGTTCCTTCTGGACTGCCCTGCACGTCTGGGACAGCCTTCCCCGTTCTTAGCAAGGCAGGAGCCACCAGATCTTTCTTGCCCCTTAACGAAGAGGCTAACACACCCGCAACGAATGCAGCTGCCACGCCAGTGCCACTCCTTGTCGTCCATGCGTTCGAGTCGTCGGTCGAAGGAACTCGAATCTTCATGCCCGGGGCAAAAACATCGACGACAAATCCAACGTTGGAGAACGATGCAACATGGCCACAATCGTCAATAGCGCCAATGGTGTTAGCGCTGAAAACAGAAGCAGGACTGACAAGTGATGCGTCCTTTGATTGGCTCCCTGCAGGGACTACAACGTGCACACCACTATTGATGGCCCAAAGGACGGCATCGTTAAGGGCTTCATTATAGTCGAAGACTACGGATATCAGTAGGATGGCATGGCAATCGGTGGATTGGAATTGTTGGAGAGCGTAGTGGATGCCTGCAAGTAAGTCAGACATCTCTCCCTTGCCTTCATCGGAGACAACCTTGATCGGAACAATGCTGGCCGAGGTCGCCACACCACATGTTATCCCCACTGCTCTTCCGGCCATCATTGTGCCATGACCGTTATTATCTTCCGAGGAGTAAGGACCATAGACCTGCACTCGCGAGCAGATATGAGTGAACATATATGACAGTACATAAAGAAATACGCACAACAGTCTCAAGCACACGGCTCGTTTTGTCATTGTCAGGCTCGTCCTTAACCTTGTTCTTGTCCTCGTCCTTGTACTTAAAGCAGGAGTGGGCACCGTAGACACCGGTATCTGCCAAAAAAATCTTCACTGGCTTCTCAAGTCCTCCGGATTCGCCTCGGTCATCCCTTATTTCGGCTGGGACGCCGTCGCACCCTGTCGCACGCCCCTCGTGCGCTTCGTGGAGGTCATCGTAAATGGAAACCATGCCGTCAGCTTCGACGTATTCAACTTCGGGGCAACTGAAAATGCGAGAAAGGGATGCTCCAGTTGCATGTGCGGCGTAGCCATTCAGGACTACAAAAGTTAGCCTATCTTCGACAGGAAATTCCCAAATATCATCTTACTTTCATACCGGTGATTGATGGAAAATTCTGACCCAGGGCTCCGAGTGGATATCCGAGTGATACCCTCGATATGATGTTCCATATCTTCGCCGGACTTCAGCACACTAAGCAATGAGTCGGCCAGTATTTATTGGAATATCAATGTCCATGCGTACTGATATTTTCTTTATTGACGCGATATCAATTGAGGATATCGTATATACCTTTTGTCTTGATGTTCTCTTCATTGCCGGTTATAGCAGGCAGTCGCTATAAGCGATATTAGCGCTAGGTGTATAAAACACACTGTGCGCGGAAATTTTTCACACCCCCTCAGTTCTCTTGTTCGAAACTGAGGTGATATCCTTTTATTTTACTTTATTCCTTGTATGCGAGTTCTGACTGTATTTACAGACCGCACATATAGGTAAAGGAACAATAAAATTAGTTCTCTTGTTCGAGACTGAGACCGCGCATATAGCTTATTTACTTTAGGTCATGAGCCCAATGTCTTCTACTGCAGCAAACGATGCTACTACAACTAAAGGTCTCCACAGTATTGATAAGCTTAAAAATGATGGCCACAACTATCGTATGTGGGCTGTCCGATGTAGGAGAAATAATATTCAAAGAATAAAACAATGATCTATCAGAATAGTCAACGAACAGGTGACAAGTTCAGACATTTAACAGATCTCATGATCTTTATGAGACTGGACAGACATTAGATCATTATAAATTATCTACACCCATGTAGTATGAGATTTAATCTACTACAATCATGCCTAGAACTTGGCATAGGTGTAATATTCAAAGAATATAACCCTACAACAAGAAAATAGCACATAGACGGCAGAATAAGAAGGAACATTGGGAAAGAAATGTGAATATCTCGGGAACCAGTAAACTTTTGACTGTAATCTTTTTACCATCTGAAAGGACTGTTTCTTAACTTTATCCACGGTTTTGTTTCATTCTAAAAGCTTCAAAACTGACGGAGATATCGCTCAAACGGCGAAACACCTTATAATTCATATATATTTATTTGCTAATTCTTACAAAAAGTAATGTGACTCAAGGGAAATATATTGGCACCTGGAAGTCTGGCGGACCGAATACCATATGATAGAGTATTCCCCGGTGCAGGTGGACAGTTTTTGATCGCATCAGAAGAGGAGAAAATGCTAAAAAACCGGATCTTGTATATTTTCCCATGATTCATCAAAACTTTTTGATTTTAAGCTCAAATAAATCGGAACAAAGGAATGATTGATGATCTGGATCTCGGATCATAAGCATGAAGTGATTCAGAAGTCCGCGGATCAGTTAATTAATTGGGAAGGCTCTAGAACATTAGTAATGATGCAGCTTCACAAAAAGGGGTCAATTAGAGAACAGTCTAGAAAGTTCCTTTATAGCCGAGTCATTTCTAAAGATAACCGTTCGTAATTAAGGCAGTGTAGAGCATAGCTTCAGCGCTACAAGATCCCGCTAAGATCGGCCCAAAAGACAAAGAAATGAATTACTTATTGCTGAGTCATGTCCTAAGTCCATTATTAAGCTTACACAGCCCAAGCCCCTATATCATTCTAGAACTATCTATAATACAAATGTAGCACATGTAACTAGTGCGAGGCGTGGGAGTAGAGAGGCCTCTGAAAAGCATAAAAGGCCACCGCTTCTGCCCCCTCTCAAACCTCAGGTAGAAATAAAAGTTTAATTCTCCTCACCAGTGGTTGGTTCGTTTGCTCCAAAAGATAAAAGCAAATATTAGTTGTTAGCTAATATAAAACTAACACGTCACTCTAAGTGTGAGTTAGGGTCAGTTAGACACAGCTGAACAAAAGTGTCATAGTGAGAATTAGTGAGAATTTGGTGGAGGGACTTCTTAATTGAATAATCTCTCAGCAATTTTTGGTTATCACACCACAGGAGAAAAGTGAGCGATCCTGAACCTGCTAGATAACTAGCATGCACTCTAAGCAATAGAAAGAGCAGTTTGGTCACTCCTGTATTGAGTAACATTTATTGCGGAATTATTCTATTAGCAGTTTTCCTTCAGTAAATTATCAGGAAAATCACATCCTACTGAAAAGTGGTAAATATAGGTGTAATATTGACTAGAAATCATAGTAAAGTCAATATAGAATTTTATCCGTAGACGGTCTATACGTCAGGTGAGATCGTTGGGGGGTGTTTATTGTTGTTTAGACAGTGAACAATCATATATTTGGCAACCAAAACACAGTCAGTACGCAAATCAGCACAAACTCTAATATCGTTATTGGACGTAGGAAACTGGTTACATAAGGTGATCCAGCTCCGCTCCTTCACCGATGCCGAATGGTTCTCATTGATCGAGGACTTTGGGATTTTGTTGATCCCAAGTCGAAGACCTCAGACCCCCCTCATCCTCCTACCTCTACTTCCTCCTCATCTTCCTCATCCTCCAATACCTCCTCCTCTGACCAAAAGGCTGTGGCGCCTGATCCTGCAATTGTTGAATGGGACAGGAAGAACGATGCGGCTTTAACTCAGATTGCACTTACCATTGATGACACACCGCTCGCCCTCATCGATGGTAAACGTTTTGCAAAAGAGGCTTGGGTTCAGCTATTCAAACGGTATAACGGTGTTGGTGCCCTAGACGCTGTGAGAGTAATGACACAACTTCACCATTATCAACTGGATGATTCCAAACCGTTGGAACCTTGTCAGGGGACGGACCCCGGGTCCCCATGACCCCTCTCTACAGTCCACAGTCTGGCCTGTAAACACAGCCCATCTCAGGGCATAGCTACTGTGGGTAAGAAAGTGTATAGCTAAATAGAAAGTAGGCTACACTTGCCTACTGTGGGTAAGAAAGTGAGAAGAAGGTTAACTTCTCACTTTCCCACAGTGGCCCCAATATGGCGAAAACTTCCGGGGATACCCGGAAGTCACATGAGGTGGGATCCGGGGTCAGATCATGCGGCACACGGAGCATGCGGTGCAGGAAGTGCGCGGGAAGTGGAGCGGGTCCGGACGCGGGTCCGGGTCCGGGCTAAGTCAGGGTATGTGCCCTGACAAACCTCAACTGATCCAGATGCATGAACTTCGTGATCGATTGGCGAGTCTAGGTGATGACTACACTGATGCCAAGTTCGCCATGATAGTGTCGGAGGCACTCCCAGAATCGTATGACATGCTCAAGCAGATCACCCTTGCGGATCTTGATGATGCGTCAACAATAGCCTGTGACAAACTCATAGCCCAAATCCTCAGAGAAGAGAAAAGGAAGAACAAACCTGCTTCGTCAACTGCATTGGTTGCCAAAACTGTAAAAAGTGCTGACAAAAGTAATGGTAAATCTGATGGGAAGAAGTCAAAGAAAGAACGCCCATGCTGTACCAACCCAAACTGCAAACAGCAGTTGGGACATACCTTCGAACAGTGTTGGGCTGAAGGTGGAGGTTCTGAAGGGCAACGCCCAGCCAAGTCCAGCAATGGGCAGAGTTCTCAGAAGGGTGCTAAGAAAAAGGACACAAAGATTGATGTCCTTCTCGCGGAAGAACATGCCACGATCGCAGACAGCGATTGTCATGGCCCTGCAAAGTCCCTGCCCTTCTACCACTTTCTGCACCCTCATTCTTGCACCCATTACTCGCACTCGTTAATCGCACCATTGCCCATCACTTAGCAGTGCCGATAGTGGTTCCCGTTCTACAGCCCCATAGCAGCGCCTCCTTCGTTCTCCCACCACCACTTGAGTTCCTCAGCCATTCGGTTGATACCGTTTTATTCTTATTCATTCGCTGTCAGGGACAGCTCCGAAAGCGGCGAGGTCCCGGTGCGAGGGACTTGATGGGACAGGTGTCGGCTATGCATAGCGGTGGTCCTGTCATGGGGTGAGCGTCCCTGACCACTTAGGCTGAAGTGGGAAGTTGAGTTATCATTAAAAGGGGAAAGCTATGGTACTTACCTGAAGTGGGAAGTTGAGAAGAAGGCTGCTTCTTCTGTTCCCACCCCAGGCACTATTATATACATGTGGTCAGGGTCACGTGGGAGAAGCCATGTCATCTCCGCGCACAGCCACGTCTCCCCGGGTGTCTCCGCAGGAGATCCCGGAGGTGGCCGCTCAGTAGGCAGGAGTGTGTGTGCGGCGCATGTGGCAATCAGGGGAGCGGGGTTAGGTACATAGTGGTACATAGAGAAAAGGGAAATCGACCATAGAATAGAAATAGAGAGAAAAGGGGAAAGTGAGAAAGGAGGGACGGGGGGTGATAGCGGGGAAAGCGGAGTAGGGCAGTATGGCGCAGGGTGCAGTGCGGGGTCGGGCGGGTGTGCCCTGACATTCGCTTAACTAACTAGCAGTTGTTATGGTCACTGCTGATCCGCTCCTTATTGACATTTGGTTTATTCCTTTATTGACAATTGGTTATTCCTTTATTGACATTTGATTTATTCGTATATTGACATTCTGATCTGCCACCATATTGGTGCTGTAACGGGTCTATCGCCTAGACTCGAGACAGAGAGAAGGGGGAGGGTGGTAGTGTATGCGGGTGTGGTTCGTTGGGCCAGGTTTTGGTCCTGGGGCGCTACCGAGTCTGCAAAAACCTCAAACAAACACTCACCTATGTCTCTCTTGGATGTTGTTGTGGGGACAACTCCGTGTACCGCAAAAAGTCAGATTCTGTGGAATTTGGCCACAAACACCCACTACATACCCGCTGATGCTCCCAATGCTCATTCTATCACTATCCAACACTCCATACACTCATTCCTTATTTTTCCTTATTTTCCCTATCATTCCCGACAACCCCAAGCAAAATTCCCACACCCAACCATGCCGCCAATTTCACCCCCTCTCCACATCTCAAGAACCACTGCACCAATTGGGACGAATAGGGGCTCGTTGGAAAGCTGGAGACGAGGAGGTTGCTGACAGGAGGATAGGCGGGTGCTGTGGCGAACTGTTGCGGAGTTAATCTTCACAATTCCCATTTCGGACCCGTTGTCACATTTTCCCCATTCATTCATATTTCTTTTATTGTTTCTTTGTTCCCAATCAAATATTCATCATTTACGGTTGCCTAATGGCCTGTTTACATTCCCCCAGTCCATTCATTTCATTTCAAACATATATAAACTAGATAACAGCTTGTACATAA